TTTACCTGTGCCTTTAGTGAAGAAATAAATAGGTGTTCTTACTGTGCGGTTTTTTTGTCACCTGAATGGCAACACAATATATGACAGCAGGAGGTGCAAAAAGAAGGATACTATTTTTCCTTTAAAAATAGATTCCAGCAGACAAAGCTGTAGCACAGCTTTTATTGAGCTGATGATGCAGCCAGTGCCAACATCCTTCCTTCTAGCACCAGAGACTTGACTGGAGTAGATAACCTTGGGGTTTAGTTTTGACCCTGGTGCTGGAGGTGCTGTCTGAACCTCAGTGTCAGGGGAGCTGTACTGCTTTCCAATAGGTTAGCTTCTTGTGTGTCTCCAAACAGCTGCCCCTCCAGCTCAAGATGAGTCAGGAGCTCGAGCTTTTCTGCTTTCATGGTGCCATCGTCTTTCTGTCAAGCCTGCAGCGTTATGTACAAGCAAGGTAATAGAGAAACAGTATTCAGCATATTGCCTCAATAAGGCAAAAGGATGCTGATAGGTACAGTCCTGCAGCACCTTTTCTTTTTCTACTTCTCTAGAAATCATGTGTGTTTCTGGCTACCACCGATTTTGTGTCAACTGTGCTGTTAAATAGGAGGTGGTGGTTCCAGGATGGACCACATAGTGTGGCACAGAGGTTCCCCTGAAGATGATGGCCACCTCCTGGTGATAGCAGTGAGAGCAGAGTTAAGTCAATACCAAGAGCTTTTGAGAATGCTCCGATTTAAAATGGGTCATTGTGCTCCCAAGACTGCTGCCATAAATACAGTCCCAGAAGCTCGTGGAGCGTGTGCGCCTGCCTTTGCTTCTGAAGTTTGGAGACTGGAGGAGCTGGGGTGGGCTTGCCGGCTGGGTTTCAGCAATATCAAGTCGCACAGATGGGTTAGCTCTTTGTTGCTTTTTTTTTTCTAATCTCCATCCGGCAAGGGGCTGTTGCATTAGTAATTTTTTTTTCCAGGCAGACCTTGCTGTTGCAAGCTACGCTGTTTTCCCCTGGAGAGCACACTGCTGTTCTGCACTGGGAGTGGTGCCTTATATCCTCCCAGAAAAGAAGGCAGAATGCAATGCAGCAGCATGACTCTTAGCTGCGGACTCCGTTCTCCACTGAGCTGAGCTGGGATTTCTGTTCGAAGAAGTCACTTTACAACTGCTGACTGCAATGGATGCTGTGTGTGGGAAGAGGTAGGGAGGTTCTCTTTCACCTGGTTCTGCCCTCCTGGGGATCATGACAGAGTCCAGACTTATCAGGTTGGCATATAGGCAAATTGTAATGAAGATAAGGACGTTCTGCCTGGTAAACTGACTGCTGCTCGCAGTGTGGCAGTGTGTTGCAAAGTCGGTACGCTGAACTTCATGTGAGAATCAGCTGTGCTTACAGTATGGCTCAGTCTTTTATATAATTACGTCTCCTGCTTCTTAATCTTGAAGTTATACAGGAATTGTAAAGGCTAGGAAAAAAATACATGCTGGTAGTGTTTCGGGTTGTAACTCTCTGCAAGACTGATTAAAAAAAGAAGCACTAAGTGCTATTTTAGAATGAAGTATTAAAGTACAGCCATTAAGGCAAACTGTCAGATGAGGCACTTGGGACAGCAAGACTGAAATACCTTTCAGATTTGTAGGTTTTATTATGTAAGTGTATTCACATGAGGACTGAAATTGCTTGCTGGGTTTAGCCCATATGTTTGTGTGTCAGGATTATTCAGGAGAGAGTGTATTCCATACATCTGTGATGCTAAAGCTGGATCTAGAGGGGTGGATCCCTGCCCTGGGACAGAGGCCAGCCTGCTGGATAAGATAACAAGATATACAAGATGTGCACCTGCCAAGACAAAAATTGTTATGCATATAATATTCCATGTCTGCCACAGGTGAGGCTGTGATCACTGCCAAAGTACAAAAATACCCACACTGGGTGTTGCTGGTGGTGTTTCTCCCCATCCTGTGTTCTAGGCTGTTTAGGGCAGTGGTGCCAAGCCAGGCAATTGCACCTCTGCTTCTTGGACCTCGGGCACTTTTATCTTCTGTTGCTGCAGCTGTGCTGTGCATTGCTGTGGGTAGCTTCACCCTCTGAGCACTGTTCAGTGACAGAAAACCCTCGATTATTCGTTAGTTTGAAAGAAGAAGGGGAAAAAAACAAAGCGTGTTTCTGCTGCAGTGTTAGCCTTTGCTGCTAAGTGTTAGCTTAAACAGAAGTGTTTGTAAAGATGATTCCAAATAAACACAGACTTTGTGCCTTTAACTGGAACCTGTGGTAAAAGATATTTCAAGATGAAAATAAAATTACAGAAGAAAGGAAAGGAGGAAGGGAAACACGCTAGCAAGAGTCCTATTACCAGCAGTAAAGCATCACAGTCTCTCAAAACTCTGTACTAGGATCTAATGCTAAATTATCACACTGAAGCAAGAGAAGGTTGTTTGGGCCTTATTATGTCTGATGGGTGCTGGCTGATTCACTGTGATGGCTGAATTAATCTCTGGTGGTTGACAAGGGGCAGTGACCATGTGTGGGGTTTCATTCATGTGGGCTCCTCAATGTATATGACACTCCTGAGCATTCAAAGAAGTGGATTTCCCAAGACTGAGCAAAAACTGAATGAGATGGATTGAGTGTTAAACATTCACGGGAAAATGTTAGTAAAGACCGAGAGCTCTTTGAGTAGCTGCCAAGGCAGTTGAAATTTCTGAGTCAAGAAAGAGGAAAGGTTTGGCTAATAAGCCTTCTAGCTGGGTAGCAATGAAAGCAGCAACTGGAACCAATAAACATGAACAAATTTAGAAAAGAGGAAAGTAGGTAGAAATACACGTGCATCTGGAACTACGGTTATGGAAGGCAGGCTGTAAACATCAGGAGGGAAATTTCCTGTCCCCGGGAATTCTGGAAATCCAGAATTAAGAAGCTCTAGAAACATAATGTGGAGTACAGTTATGAGTCGATTACTGAAATAAACACAAGAAAATTGGCATTTGCAGTGACTCGGAAGGCACTAACAGGTCATCACTATTATCCTGCATTTGGAAAGAAACCATATGGTGGGCTACTATCCTCTGACCAAAACTCCACAGAGGACTTTAACCAGTGTAAATTAGGCTCAAACTCTGAAGCAGCAGGCTTCGTAGCTTTTATCTAAGAGTTCAAAGCAAGTTTGCTTAGGTTCTCTCTCACATATACCCATCGGCTTCTCATAACACTGTATAATACGCTCAGTGTGGTGATGTCCTACATTCCAACAGGAAAATAATGGAAAGTAAATGTAAGTTTTCAAATGTATTTCACATGCAGGAAAAGAAGTTCAACTAGCATGTACCAAAAAGTCACATCTGCCAGGCTGACTGTTCTGTGCAGTGATTCTGGTGAGATCATTGTCCCCAGCAAGCAGGAGCAGAACATGAAGTCACTGATGGTGAAATTAGCAAGGTGACACAGAGACTGATGGCATTTCAAGCAGCAATGGGAAGAACAAAGCAGGATGTGTGAGTGGCTGGTGCACTGGCTGCTTCTGGATGAAAGGAAGCTTTACCACAGAGCGAGGTGCTGTAAAGAAGCAAGAAATTCATCCTAGCTAGAGAGCAGAGGAACTGAGTCCTTCGGAGCTGGGACTTGGGGGGAGCAGCAGTAGAAACACGACAGAACAGATTTCCTCGTAAACGCAGAGCCTGAAGTTGTTAAGATGGCTAGGAAGAGATGGTTGTGGGGATTTGACTCTGTTTTTGCCTCTTACACAAAAGACAATGGAATAGTGCCTGTTTTCTGTGTTTTTAGCTTAAGTAGGATATTGCAAAATGGGGTAGCCACAGATATGATCCCTGAGCTGGGGAAACAGCCGTACAGCAAGCAATGGAAAAAAGCTTCATCTGTTTAGCTTATCAAAAATAAGATTGAGGGATAACTTGATTAAAGAGTGTAAGTACTTCCATGGGAGAAAATACCAACTGCTGAAGGGGTTTTTAATCTAGAGGAGAAAACAGTGAGAGACAATGGTTGGGCAGTGAAGCCAGAGATTCTACTTCAAAGCAGGCAAACATTTCTAACAATGAGGGCGTTTAACCGCTGGGGAAGATCCCAAGGGGGCTGATAGCTCCTTCATTGCTTGGTGCCCATGCGCCAGAAGGGAGTGCTTCTGGAAGATGTGCTTTACTCACACTGGATTTGATTCGTGGATAACCAGATCGACTCTGCTACCCGCTATCTTATGGCTCATGGCACTTTGGCCCTTTGAAGCCCTTAGCTGCATCTGGGAATGAATTGGCAGTACTCTGGGGCTTTCCATCTGGGGATCCCAATGGACTTTTGGGGTGATGTCAGCACAGCCTGCCCTACAGAAGGGAATTGGGCTGTCACTCATCATGTGTTGGAACTGTGGAGAATGGCTTTCTTCGTCCCCAGGCAGATGAGACATGGGCTTAATCAGACACCTAGAGCTCCCAGAGAGGGAGGACAGATACAAGAAATGCAGGTAAGGGTCTCACCAGCTATTGCTACCTTTTAGAAAGACATACTGGGACAGCAGAGAGCTGGATGCAAGGACAGATGAAGTAGCTCTGATTTATGGTGGGACCAGCAATACGAGGAGAAAGGTGAACATAATCCCTCTGCTGGGTTGAAGCAGAATGAGAATGGGTTGCAAGCCTGCAGTGCTTCCCCTGGACCCACAGCTTCTCACTGATCACTGAGGTCTGAACCTTGGAAGTTGCCCCAAACACTAATTTCTGCAATATTCCAGAATATTCAGTACTTATCTGCAGTCAGAGGCAGAGTCAGCAGTGGCAGAACACCTCTGGAGTCAATGTGTCCGTGACACTCACAGGAGAGTTGCTCCCATCCTGCAGCACTGCTATCCTGGCCCTCCCACTGCAACCCAGTGCATCTTTCCAGATAACTGGTAGCAGTGAGCAAACAGTTAAAGTTCTGCTTCTCCACCCAGTGGTGGGTGTTGTCTGTGTCAGAAACAATATAAGAACAGTCGGAAGTTGCAGCTGGCAAGTAACATTTGGAGTAGCAGTTGTGGGGCATATAGATCTGGTGTGGACTGTCTTTTCCTGAGACTGTAAACACTTGTGCAGAATGTCCGAGAGCAAGAAAAAGGGGAAAGGAAAGAGCAAAAAGAACAAAGAAGGGAAAAAAGGGGAAAGAGAACCTGATCCAGGAAAAGGTACTTCCCATTTTTAACAAATTTTACTTAAAGGAAGAAGAGCGAAGCAAGACAGTCAGCGGGAAAGTACTTGTGGGTTGCATGAATTGGTGCAAATGATAGGGAGCGACTCTCAGGCAAGTGTGCAAATCTCTGCATCTCATTCATACTACATGCTCTTATAGGTCTACTTTCTTTCTGAGCTTCTCTGCTTTTTTAATATTCTGAGCCCCAAGAAATCAGGGCAGTGTACTCTTTAAATTCAGCTCCTGCCACGGTGCTGTGTAATTGAGGGGTGTTGTGCTCATTCTCTGGGGGTTATGGTGTGCTGTGTTCTGCTGCTTGGTGGGTTGTTTCCTTACTTCTTCTTGAGGTAAATATCAAAAGCCACTGTTTTGGAGGTTCATAGGGACTGCTCCTTGTGACAGACTAACTCTCTTACAGATCTAATTTAAGTTGTAGTCTCACTTTTGAGGTAACTGCATTAAATTGCAGATAAAGACATGATGAGCCTTCACTCTGCTGATATGCTTATAAGCAAAATGGAGCTGTTCTTTAGAGAAGATCTGACTGCTCCTTGCTGAATGAGCAAGGCAATGCTTAAGATGTTGCTAGGATAAAATGTTTAGATTGCCTCTAACTGATAACTTTTGATTCCTGAGTAAAAGGGGAGTGGAAACTGGGGAAATGTGAGAACTGTCTTGGAGAGATACAGGAGATTTGATGGCAATGCAGAGCAGTGGTATTTCGTTCTCTGTCTGGGTATCAAGGAGGGATTATCCCTGGCTGTTTCTTATCTGTAGTTTATCTGGCAATGTATTTGAACAGAGCAGCAACTCTGTCAGGACTTTGTGTTTTATCAGCATTAAGAGGGGTTACAAGCTGGACCAGGTCCTGGAGTAATCTGTCAGACAGTTCAGCTCTTGGCTTGCCTGGATGCAGCTCTGTGCTTGGTCCTGCTGCCATGACACTGTGTGACTGCTTTGGCTTCACACCAGCATCGCTGCTGGCAGGATGTGCCCCTACCCTGTTTCATTCTGTTACTCTGAGCGCAGAGCTCTGCTCAGCTCTGTTGTGCTCTGGGCATGGGCTTTTCCCATCAGTGGCTCTGCCCTGATCTGCCAGGACGGCAGCAGGCACTGATGCTGTGGCAGGCTGACCTGAAGCGAGGTCTCCTGCTTATGACATCAGAACTCGGCTGCTTCTATGGAATTTGGGAGGAGTCTTTTGGGATAGCTTGGGATGGAGAGCTCAGAAGCACCAAGCAGAGAGAACAGCTGCTTGGCAATGGTTGGATCTGCCCAAGGGGTTAGGAAATGTGCAGGAGCAGGGGGCTGCCTCACAGCCATTGGCAGGATGGTCCTGCCTCTTACGTGCATGGATGGGATGGGGACTGCCTGAACTGTAGGCAAGATGGAGAGGCTGGAGGCTGAGCAGATGGGGCACAGCTGGGCAGTGAGGGTGGCAGTGCTTGGGATCGGCCTCGGGTCTGCAGGGCTGCAGCTGGGCCCTGCTGTGCCTCTGTCAGTGTGGATTCCAGAGTGGAATCAGAGGTGATTGCAGTGATTCTTTCTCTACTTCAAAGAAAATAAACCTTCTGGGTTGGCTTACACAGCATGAGCACATTACTACACCTATTGCTAACTGGATTACTTTCATCCACTCATTGCCTTGTATTGCTGCAATGGTTGCCATAGTTCGCTCTGTATGGTCATCAGAGGAAGATGGTAGGTTGCCTGTGGTGCTTCTCAACCAAATCGCACTCTGATTTGGGTTGACTGGGATTGGTGGAAGCTGTGAACACCTTTTCTCATCACAGGCTGCTTTTCCTACATGGTCTGATAAGCACTGTGGTGATGGTTTCCCAAGAGGACTTTTAGAAGAGAAGAATTCCTCCCTCAGTACACTTCTGAGCAGATGCCATGATCCAATCCCACTCTGTAGATACTCCAGGCAGCTGATTATCCCATGGACACTGTTTTTTTCAGCTTGTGGCTGTGCTTCTGACTGCTTTTCTGGCATACTTGGGCTGGTGTAAGAGCCTGGGGCTGGCACAAATCAAGCAGCTGGCATGGCACTGCAAGGGGAATTGGTGGACTCTTTTCCCAGATTGTAGTGTTTCCATGCAAATGAAGCATGCTGACCCCTCTCAAACCAGGCGGCAGAAGAAGAGCCAACAAAATGCTTAATCGGACTCAGGCGACACAGACGAGAGCATGCATTTCAGAGAGCCAGTTTAGAGGAGGTTCAGGGGATGATAGGATGGAAGATTTCCTTCCAAGGCCTATCTTTATCCTAAATTCACATTTTTATTCCTTTAGTCGTGAAACTGTAGCAAACTGAGTGCCTTGGCTCCAGATGTAGCCAGTGGAACAGCCCTTGGAGGCCTCCAGAGGGAGATGGTGTCCACCTATGAAGAAGCACCATCAGGATCTCTTTCAGATGTAGCTTACATCAAAGGATAGACGGACAGTGTCCCACTGAGCACAGGTGGAAGGCACACCCTGCAGATCCGTGGTAGGCTTTGGAGAGCTGGGCCAAACCTACCAGTATCAGAAGGGGGGACCAAACACTGGCAGGAGAGCAGAAGGCCAATGTGCCAGCCTTGACAGCACGGTGATTGAACAGCACGTTGGAAAGGGAAGGGCTGTGAGGCTGGGCACAGCCTGTGTTTCATCCGTACTTCTGTGAGGTGGCTCGGGGGGGAAAAGACCAGAGAAATGTTAAGCATCTGGTTGGGTAAATTCCCCAGCAATTCCAGGCATTCTCTCTTATTTTGACTTGGTGGTGAGGAAAACACTGTGTGTGCATTGGGTTTTTGTTGTTTGTCAGTGCTAATAAGGACAACAACACAAGAATCATGCCATTGTCTTGAACTGCCCATAGCAAAATTAGTACTGGAAAACAACTTGGAGAGCAGGTGAAGAGTCTTTGCAGATACTCTTGTGTTTCAATAGGAACCAGGCTGACCTCAGTTCTCAGATGAGTCAAGACTTTGTAGAAATGTTATGTGGGAGGGTGTTGTGATTGAAATTCCAGGGATCTCAGGGAGGAAGGCCCCCCTCAACGGGAGCCAGTGGCTGAATGGCAGCACAAGCAGGTGCCTGCCAGCCTGTGGGGCTCCACAGCTCTGCCATGCCAGCACTGAGGTCCGTGAGGATGGGAGGTCCCTTGCAGATGGCAGGTGCAGGCTTTGTGGTGGAAGGTCATTCTATCGGAGTTACTCAACAGGACTGCAACCAGAATGATTGCTCGATGAGCTCTGCCCACGTTGCAGGACGAACACACTCTTGATTTGTTCTTGTCTTCTGTTTGTAGGAAAGATTCCAGTTCCAAGGAGCTCATAGAAAGATTAACCAAAAGGTTTGTTTACAGGAGGAATAACCCACAGCGGATATCCTACAGTAGCAGTTTTGTTTTCTGTAAACACCCAGCCATACAGGGTGCCAGATGTCAGCTGTGCTGCAGGATCTGGCCACATGCATCTTGTCACTAGAGCATTTCCACTGTTGAAGCTAATGGGTTGTTGTTGCCATTGCCGTGTGGCTGTGAGTACACATGTGGCCAGTTACCACGGATCAGCAGGCGTGCAGTAACTTGCAGAGCTTTGGGAACAGAGGGGGTCTGACTCACAGGCTCCAATGATTCATACTGGGGTAAAGGAAGAGGTTATTTCACCCAGCTGCTTTCTGGTCTTTTTTTTGGTTGAAGCCAGCCATCCCTGCAGAATGGGCTGGTAAATGAGAAAGTAGCTCTGTTCCTCTGCCGCCCGTGTCTCACAGTGCCAGGTGTTAATACAAAGAGTAGAACTATGGGAAAGACACCCAGTGGGGCTGAGAATGACCCTTCTCTCCATTTGTGCAGACCCTACTCTCCATTCATGCAGACTGGAGGGCTGGGATCACCCAACAGAGAGGCAGGATGGAGCAGAGTGGTGTGCTAATAAAAAATCCCTCTATGGATCCAAAAGCTTGTGAGTCAGAGCCCTGGGCATACTCTTTTCAATCCCTGTTTGGAGGTGAATGTAAGTAACCTGGGAAAGGCAGTCTCTGTTGAGAGGGGGAACATCTGGAGAAGGGCTGAGCGCAGCCTGGCTGCTGACCTTTGGGGTCATGCCCTCTGCTCATTCTCCTGCCTTTGTTAATGTGACAGGTTCCAGCTGCAAAGCAGCTAGAGGAAAGCCATGCTGCCACGATCCTTCCTCCTGCATCGGGACTGCCAGCCTCCTGTTCAGAGTGTGACCCTCATCTCCCGTGTTGGCTCAGCACTGAGCTTTAATGGGTCTGCAGCACTCCAAGCTGACTGGGGAAGGGAGGACAGTAGGGCAGGGTAAGCATGTGGAGCTGCATCCCACTTCTGCTGCATAACTCCAGAGGCAGTGAGTGAAAGGGAAAAGAGCCTCTTCTTCCTCTGACCCTTTCTCATGGACACCCTCAAGTATTTGAGGGGTGTTCAGTGTGGGGACCACCAGACCCTGTGCCTGTTGCAGTGCCTTGGTGCTTTGCTCAGAAGCAATGAATGAAGAGGATGTGGATCATATCTGGCTCTTGCTTGGGTATGCTTGTTTTCTTCTGGAAGTAAAATTCCATGAAAAATGCAGTGTTTCCTAAAGGTAACTTGGAATCCAGGAGCAGCTGAGCTTGCAGCTTGTGACCAGGATGATAAATCTGGGCTGGTTCCTTGGCTGGGAATTCTATGAATTCCCAGTAAAGGCTGGCTCTTCACTGTGTGCTGTGCTCTGGGTAGATGTGAATGAGCAGCAAGGCAAGCTGGTGCTTTCCTTTGGGAGAGCTCCAGTCCATGTCCCTGAGGATGAGGCTGGAGGGGAGTGGGAAGCTGCGGAGGAGCCTCCCATATCTCCTGGTTCACCCAGAGGTTTGCTTGGTGCTGTGTGCTGTGTTGAGCTCCTTGTCCAAGCTCCTGCCGTGGTGGGGGCAGGTCAATCTGTTTGGAGGTCACCCAGAAGCAGGAGGGGATGGATGTGCTGGCAGTAGAGGTGGTTTGGGAGGATGAAGGCCCAG